ATCATCATTGCATTCGGGCTTCGATTTTGGCTCAGTGGTGGCTCCGTGATGATTTTACTCCGAGCTAGAGATTTCCTTACACGTACATGTGCATGCGCCTGTAGTGGATTCTTTTGGTATCAACCAATGTGGCTCTTGTTCGAGGCTAATTTGAATTTATCTGAGATTTTGACAAGGATTTAATCGATTCGAGAAAAAAAAACTATATAGTACACTAATATTCCCACTACTTCTCAGCAAGTAAATTACCATGCAAATGTTAGAGAGGGGTGCAAATGTGGTTAAATCACTGCCTATGGACACAACAAAGTGGTAATGCAACACTAGATTCAAGAAAGCAACAACCAGCAACCACAGAATTTCCCGTTCCAGGAGCGTTTTTGCTCTTTACCCCTGGGAACAAAGAAGAGCGTTTCTAGTCGTCGCCATGTTACGTTGCCAGGCACTTTGGGCCTGACAGATAAGAATCCTTTTAGGTTGCTGAAACGGGCCGAGTATATGAAGTCTCTTTATCAACTTCTGCATCGACGGCCGACACCGGCGACTGCACGCTTAAATGGCCAGAGAATAGGCCGTATGCATAGCACACACGGGCGGATTCTGATTTACACTTTTTGCTGTTTGATGGGTCACAAACTTGGAAGGTTTGTAAAAAAGGGGAAAAAAAGTAGGCTCTAACAGAACTACAAGTTTGTGTCTCACCAAATTTTGCACAAAATAGGCCCCAGAGTGGCTTCATTTTGCTCAGGGACGTGGGCTTCATTTTGTTCAACTATAGGACTTTCAACTATTTTCAGGTGTGACCACTTTGGAATAACACATTTCTCAAATGACTTGTGCATTCGTTAACCAACAAAACAGAAATTAAGAACGGCCGGCCGGGCTATAGTAAAACACCCCATACAGAGAAGTCCCCCCCCCCAAATTTGTAAAGTGAGGGTACTATAGGCCTATCGGACATATCTTCAGCTGTTTTTGTTTCTAAAGGGCAGTTACGGCTCGATGGTAATCTAGGCACGATATTCCGGAAACGGTAGGCGGAAAACACAGCAGGATCGGTCGCATCCTGCGTTACAAGTGACCCTGACGGAAGGGTGAATATGCTTCGATAGAAATGGCAGTGAGGCAAATGTATCTCTCTCGGAGGCAGTGACAATCGGATCCTATTCGTGTCTCCCCCCCCGTCATATCTAATTGAATTGTCCACGGGCAGATTTGGAAGGGATTTGCTCTCGCTGGAAAAAAGAAATCCCCTACTTCAGACTGTACACAAGACGAATTGACATTACCCTCCATATTTTGACTGTTGGATGTTCAAACAGACTGGTATGCGAGTTTTTATGGGCTTTAGGTGCTGGACAATCCGATCGGAATCATTACTGGAATTAAAGAGGGATTCTTATTGTTACGAATTCCACATTACTCTAAGAACAATTAGTAAATTTTCGCGATCAGAAAATTCATTTTAATCTCATCTAATTTTTGCCCTTCAAATACGATCCTGTCTGCGCCCGCAGCAAATTAGCCTGGAGGTTCATCCGTTCGGTGAACATCCCTACAGTCTCTTCTTTTCATCAATGTTCCACAAGCACGTGGTACTCCCACAAGGGGCTTCTGCACTGTTATACTCTTCATGAATACAGTGATGGGTCGGATGTAGGCCCCCGCAGTTATTTGTGCATCGTCGTGCATATTTGATGATGCCCGGATTGTCTGGATGGACGGCCCGGGCAGGATGGTTACTAACGGGCACTGAAATCGAAGGGAGCCACTGTATCAAGAAGACTCTCCCCCTCCCGTTTAATCAAAACGTTGATCAGCAACCCCCACCCGAGAAAAAAAAAATCCATCGAATTCCATTACGAGATTCTGGCAAGGTTTCACGGATGCTTATCACGTTATGGGCTTAAAACGGGAACGCACTTTTCTCTGCTGAACACACTGCTGAAATTCCCGCATCTCCTGTTCCCAGCACATCCATGTTGGTTTCATGTTCTTCTCTGTTTAGTCAAGTCTCTTATGCTGATGTGAAATCCAGCTTAATTCAGCTTGCATTTTGACTTATCAGAGTACATATGCATTTGTCAGTTCGTCGTTGGAAGATTGTTCCTTATCTGTTGTCTGTTCTTCAAATCTGCGGGGGAATTTTTCATGGTGCGTTTGGAAATAATGCCGGCCGCGTGCACAAGCAATTGAGCGCATGATTTTTATTAACCATTATCAAACACCTTTGAGTTCAAACTTGTCGAGGTTCTATAGACTTACCCATTCTAGCTCAAGATCTAAGGAAGTGAGGAAGGAAGAGAGCCCTTCCCCGCCAGGCTCAAGCCCCCTCCCCTTCCCAACGGTGACAGGCAGATAGTGTCAGGGTGAAATCTGGACGCTGTGCACGCGGCGCCATGCGTCCACAAGGGTCCAGAAGATTTCGTGGAATTTAATACTCGCGCGCCAACTCTGCGCCAGACGCGCATGAACAAGCACGTTGGCGTAGCATGTCGCCTCTAAGGAGATTGCAGCTTTCAACCGCTCGTTTGACTGAGATTAATCACGATGTAAAACAAACTCGACAGTTATTCTGTAGTCTGCTCAGAAACCTGAATATTGTATGTGAATATTTATGATGGAATTTACATTGGTGTTGTACTGCACGAAGAGGTACTCCGCCGTTTGTTTATTTGGTAGTCGTGAAGTACCCAGAACCAATATACGTGTACTTGCAATTATTTGCTTTGAAATATTGTGCGAATGATTTCCTGGAATCTTTTTTGTAATGTGTACTTTGAGAGGTCTTTCAAATTGGATCTCCCACCAGATGGAAAACGTCTACAGAGGCAAAACTTTTAACGATTCGTGCAGTCTCAGCAAACAAGCTAACAAGGATGAATTCATGGCGCCGTTTCTAAGGTGAATCACACACGCATTAACTGATGACCGATATTGTTAGTCATTATTGCAGTGACACTTATGAACCTTATAGCCAATGACAAGCAGGCGAAAATTGATGGCCAATGGCCTGCCAACGCTGCCATGCTTTGGTGCATGTGCACTCGCGATTGAGAATGACCTTTCATCTCTACAGTCTCGATAATTTCAACCTCTATACGACCATCTCCAGCTACACAAAATCAATGGCTTGTGATTTTGAGCCCATTACACGAGGTTGCTTGAACCTGAATCGGACCTTATATAGCGCTCTGTCAATGGAGCACTTTCCTCATTTGTCACATGACATGTTATTATGGTCAGAAGTCATAGCAATGGCTCAAAAGACCACCTCAGGGGCGTAGACAGGGGAGTTCGCCAAAGATACGTGCTGTATCATATCCCGTACTGAAAGGTATCCACCTATTTTATCCAATGTTGAAGCAAGGCGTGCGTCCTCTCAGCAAGGGCTGGTTTTCTTCGCCACTTCTTTCACGCATATCCTTTGGGTTAAAAAGCCAGTTAAAATTCGGTGATTTATTTTTGGCATGCCTTTTAGCCATTCGACGACAGTGATAACAAACACAACGTTTCTATCATATCCCGGCGAGAACACAGGATGAATCCTAACACACGAGGAACGTTGAAGTCCTTCGTCCTTGTTTATGCACGACGTCTGATACGCACGTAATGTGCAGTCTAGACTCTAGCCATGCACATGATTGCTAAGGTGGCGATGTTAATGCACAGTTTAAAAAAAAACCGGCGTGGTCGACCGATGGACCAAGCAGTTGGCGTGTGCGCGCTCAAAATAATGACAAACGCTGCCCGAAGGTTTAGGCCGAGCACATAAAGATAATTGAAAATATATCATAATCTTTGCCGCATAGAATACGTTGCTCATACTCAATCAATTGTGTCGACACCCGGTGAAAGGAAGCATTCTTTTTTTGTACATGTATATTCAGAAAAAAATGGTATTTGGTGCGGCTGACCTGAAGTGACAAAAGTGTTTTGATTTATCTTTTTAATTGTCTGCGAAGAGCTGAAACATTAGGATTATTAAACAGCCTATGCACGTGTTGCAAGACTATAGCTGTGCCGAAGTAGCTAACAAACCTGTAATGTAATGCATTCCTAGAAATATGCATGAGCGCAGTTTTGGATGCTTTTAACTCATGCATGAGTCCCTAAGTCTCTGGCCAGCGGATGCGCCAGAGATTTTGTGCCACAACAAACGGAGAAAAAAAACTGTCAATGTCCGACCGGTGACCAACTTCCCTGGTTGCCTAGCAACGCTCGTTAATCCTCTTCCTACCCAGCAGCATTTGTCAACAATAGCGACTAATTTCCCGCTCGGCTGCCTGATTCAGGCCGACAGTCTCCACCGGTACAACACCTCGTCCCGTTATTCCCAAACACTTCCATCGACGACGTTTCTTGTGTGCACGTAAAGGTTTGCCCCCTCCCGCCTCCCCTATCCCCACCCCTCCCCTCGTCCGCACGAGCAATTATTCCTGCCAGAAAGGGAAATACGCTTCCGATGTTTGCTCCGCCATCATCGTTCAAGCTCCATATCTAGGACATCTCCCTAATTGCGCATGTGCCTGACGATGGCAGACTCGCTATTAGCGCTCAGTGTTCCGAAACAAATGAGACTAATTGGTCCGCGGGGAGCGGAGAAAACGCTCACCGTTTTCGCGTGTACCGATAATTAAACAGCCTTGGCGTACATTCCCGTTGCTCCTGTCGTGCGGCAACATTAATTGCCATACCATGATAAAGTGCAGAGGCAATTTTGGTTGTAAGCATTTGTCAAGCGCGACTCTTAGTGCGTCGATGGTTTCCGATTTGGCTTACACAATCATGCTGGTGTGTAGAGCTTTCAATGGAAAACTGTTCTATGCATGAATGCTTGTACTTTCTGCGATGCAATTTGTTCAACTGTTACAATTTTAAAAATCGTCGACATCTATCTGAGAAAAGGTGAATATAATTTCCACACTGTCAACATGCAAGTTGCCCCAAATTTTTGAGAAAGGCAATGCTGAATTTGAATTTTTTTGTTTCGAACACAGATTCTAAGAGTAATACGGTACAGCCTGTAGAATTCTGTAATCATGGAATTGACGGCGTTCCTGCTACTACTGGCCGCTGCATGCCTCGTGGGAGTCATGCCGACAGTAACTGAAGCTCAGAAGATAGTCTCCCTACCGTCCGTGGCCGGATACGGCGCCGTGGAGAGAGAGCAAGTCCAGGGGCGATTCCCTAGGAGGGAAGAGCTGTTGCAAGCACTGGACTTCCTTGAGGAATACGAGAGGGGCAAAGCGAACGACTGGAACACAGACCACGACGACAGCGGTGCTCTTTACGCGGGTGACGCGGAGGCGGATGCCTTCGACTTGGGAGGCAATGCCATTTATCCAGAAGGCCTGGATTTGGATTTCGGGCAGGAAACCGAAATGTATCCAGACTACGGGCCCGCGGAGGACAACAACGTGGACATCTCACCGTGGCTGGCCAACCTTCTCCTCCAAGGATCACCGGAAGATCAAGAGATTTATGCAGCGGAGGTTGAACAGGCTGAAGATCTGTCCGAAGATCTGGAGGATCTCCTGGAGGCGCTTCTTGTGGCAGAGGCCGAGGTGGAGGCAGCAGAGGAGATCGATGAGGCAGTGGCGGAGGAGACTGCCGACATCGTGGAGGAAGAGATGGAGGAGATGGCCGTGCAGAACATCCTGGACGACATCTGGGCGCAGGAGGTGCTGCAGGAGGATGCCGAGAGGGAGCTAAAGTGGCTGTTGGTCGAAGAAGAGGACAGACTGGAGAGGGAACAAGACCAAGAGAAAGCAGAGGACGGGGAAGGTGAATCAGTCCAAGTACAATCATACTCTAAAACGTGCCCTACAGTTAAAATCTTTATGTCTACCACTTTGCAAATGTCCTGAGATGCTGGAAATCGCTCTTCCAATTCCTGAGCACCAGTGTTCAATTGTTAAACACCCTCTTCCAATAAACGAATACTCTACTTGGTATTTAAACACATGAGAGAAGTGTTCAGTTGCTAAACATAGTTTTGGAAGTGCACTAGAGTTTCCTTAATTCAACTGACAGGGCCTGTTCGTTTTGTGCAGATCTAGATCAAAATCAGTTATCTAACGTTGGTTCACTGACACCAGAACCCGCCTAATGGATGGTGCAAACCAGCCTTGAAACCACCGATCTAAATCTAGATCCGATCGAGACACACAGGCTCTCAGTTAGATGCGTAGTGACGCCCAAAAGAAATCCTTTCTTGGGAGAAAGAGACGTGGCGAGTCTGTCTCGATATATAACCACTTTTCTGCCCGCATGTCCTCCAGACCCGTTTAAATTCGAGTATTTCTCCTCGGACGAGGAGGGGCTGGCCTCGGACTACGGCTCCGATTACTCGCTGAGCAACTCCGAGGAAGACTTCGTAGGCGAGTCCTTGGATGAAGCGGAAAAGGAGGAGCTGAGGGAGGAGGCAGCTGAGATACTGCGTCTTCAAGACCAAGAAAAGGAAGGTGGGGATACTCCGCGGAGCAGTCTAAGTTGAAACTTACTGAATGTCCTTTTCAAGAAAAAAAAGCACCTCGATTTTCCTTTCCTTGAAAACTGCCTTCCACTGGAGATTCATATAAAAGGCACAGAGAGTTGTCTGCTTCCTAGGGAAGGACCGCTTTCTTTTCAAAAGGTTAGAACCAATTATTGTGAGATGGCCTCCTTTCTGATGTATAACCAACGTAGAAATATTGATCGAGAAAATGAAGGAGTTTGACAAACACTAATACAGGCGATTCACAATACTGCACCTCCAAGAGTTTGGAACGCGTTGGCCAATCACAACGCGCGAAATCTGTCGACTCTTTCCAAACTGGCATTGGGTCAACAGATTTCGAGCATTGTGATTGGACAACACGTTGCTAACTCTTGGAGGCACACTACTGAGAATCGCCCGTATTGTCGTTTCCTCTTTTGCCATTATCACGCGAGTGTAAAACAATTTAGCTGTTAAATTATTGGGAAAATTGGTATCAGTCAGCCAACTCCCAGTTTTCAGATTTATTATCGATGCGGGAAAAACACGAAATGTAATTATTTTGTGCCTTCCTTTTTTTCATGAGACTTTAACCTCGATGTCCTACTTTCATGAAACGTTCGCCCTCGCTGCATTGCGTTGCTACAGATATGAATCTCCATGGATACTGGGAACAGTTCTCTTGAGAACGTGACCGAGCGCGAGAGCCGTAACAAAATGAATGGGGCGCTGCATGGATACACCAGGGAAGGGTTTTGCCTTTCACCTCGCCAAAACAAAGACTGAACCGGTCGCTGGTATTATTGTACGTGGTAATCAAACACCGCCACCTTTTGACCAAACATTTTCTGGGCAAGCTCTAATCATTCTACGGTAAGGAATCGCCAATAGTCCCGAATTGGGAAAAAAACACAAAGGTCGTTTAGGATGAATAATAAGGACAGAAATGCAAATAAGTTTGACGGTTTCAGCCTCTGCCTTGGAAGTATTGTATTACCAAGTTACAGTTCGCCGTATAATTTATTATGACTACCGTGAGCAAGGAGAAGGCCAATGCGCCTCGTGCCCTTCAGCGGGGATTTCCACGACCAAACTGGCTGAATTGACAAAATAACCAATTCCCTGTCGAAATCGTGCCGCGTTTGCTGCCACACAGGGGGTGTATAGTTTCTCAATATTGATGAGCCGGGAAGGAGCAACGCACCAGCAGGGCACTAAAAGCAGTGTAAAAGTCGATAGATCTAATGCCTCTGCTGTGAAACAACTCATCGCATATGCGATGAAGAGAATCATGGAGTTTTTGATTTGCAGTGTCCTGCACTTTCCTACGATCATGGTACCACTTCACGTGACAGCATTCGGGGTACTCGTCCTTTTTATTCTATTTTTAAACACCACACAGTGTGTTAAGCGTTGACTGCCGGCTTTATCATGAGTAAAATCATGCTTTTCGCTGCTTGTTTAATGTAACACCATAATTGAATGCATTAATGACTATGGGATACTTACAAATAACCGAAAAATGACACCACGATGATATCCGGCAATCTGGAATCATACGGTCGACTTGCAATATGTCTGCAATCTGTCTGGGACTTTTTCACACTGCCAAGTCAGCCTAACTTTACCAGGGCCACATGCTGCCCCGATAATGTCGACTTGGCACCTGCTCATCTCATTCAGCCTATAAAGCCCTATTGCATACGCTAATCGAACCTGCCCGGGAAGCTTAAATTCATTTCGGGATGCGGTGTCATCGTAGGATACGTTGTTTTAATACAACCGTCCAAATTCATATTTTTGGACCAGTTTCTATTGCAAAGTATAATCATTCATTTTGTTGCCATTTTAAAGGTTACGGTCCTTGGACTTTTATTTTTTTGCGCCCATATCTATGATGTTCATGAACACAAATATTGCGATCTGTAGCTCAAGTTGTTTTGGATGTATTTATCAAGAGATGTTTGGTTTGATTTGATTTGGCATTCTTTGACATACACGTATAATTATAATAGTCCCGTCATGGGTAAATAATGCAAAGATGTACGAAAGAGTATGAGAGCGAAATACACGAAAGCCATTACGCATGTGGGCCTAGTTCCAAGCTGTTGAGAATGAAATCCATGCATACAACGTATATCACTTTAAAACTCATTGGCCTATCATCTTCCGTCATTGGGGTATCCCCACTTTTTGACCCTGGGAATCAAAGTAGGGGCAATCTTTCCCCCTACTTTTTCGAGCTGGGCCGGGAGAAATTAAGAAGGGCTGTGAAGAGTTGAACATACTTCCTAACAACCAGAATAATTATATTCCATAGCACTCAAAGAGAGAGAACAATATGAAACATGAAAATGAATTCGCCGTTTTGATGTACGGTTCTGCAGTAGTTTTAATACATTTTACAGATGTACATCCCAATCATGAACAAAGTCTTCTGGTGTCAGCGCCGCTTTTCAACCTTCAATGGCTGAGCAAATCCTTTCCCCAAGATCCCCCATTGCCCAGTTCCCGGCACAAATCTACACCACTGTTATGAAATTCATGGCAAGAAGATTTTTAACCAACCCTTTAATCCAATCAAATGAAACCTATGGCAACGTTTGACCATCACAACCTTCCAAGTTAACCATGCCTTGACAGACTGTGTTTGAGTATCAAGCTGGACCAAAAGGGGGCGCAACTTTCTTAGCGACGGAGGCTCCTTTGATCGGACTTGAACTTCGTCGGTTCGCGAACGACTGTGAAAATGTACGCGTCACAGTCGCATCGCTAGCTACAAAATGAACACTCCCAACTCAAAGGGCTTTTTTCAACCGATCAGGGGATGCTTCTGCTCGAGGAGGATACAACATGAAAACAGTATCCAATCAAAAGCACGTCTGCAAGTTGATACGAATATAGGGGCTCTGATGGTGCAAACTGACACTGGGCCGAAACGTCTTCTTCATGTTTTTCCTCCGCAGAAGAGGAGTTGAGAGCCAGACGAATCTTGGAAACCCTGGTGGGGTCGCTGGCGGAAGAGGCGATCCAGGAAGAGATGGAGGAAGAGGATGCTGTTGAGGAAGATGATGAGGAAGAGGAGGAAGAAGGCGACACTACATCCTCGTTATCGGTGCTGGATGCAGGGATGGTAGATGGGGAACCAGACGAGGAAGAAGAGGAGGGCGTAGAGCAAGAAGGTTTGAAATTTCAGCTTTTAATCTGTCCACAATGCTTGCCTGTATGTTCATCGCTGTTCTGCGGTTCAGACCACTTTCAACAAGCCCGGTGTGTATGTAAGAGGGACATTGGGTCGCTGTGAAACAGAGAGGCATCGTCTGTGAAACCCATGACAACTAAAGTGCGATTTTGAAGAGGGAAATTTAAGAGGCTCAGCAAAGATACCACATGTTTACCGGAGTTCACATTTAACACAACTGTTCACGTTTCCCTCCGTATCTTATGCATCACACTGTATTAAAACGTGTTACGATGAATGTCATAAAACTAATTAGTCGTTTTCTCTTTAGCACCAAGTTTCAGCTGGTTCACAGTCTAGGCGTAACATTACTTAGTATAGGCTCGTGGCCACCGCTTTCAGCCAAGAACAGTAGTGCAAGGTGCTTCATTTTCTGCACAGGTTAAACTTGTAAGGAGACTACGGGTGCTAAATCCCGTGAGGCAACGATATTTTTCCACACACTTTCTGACCTGGAAAGAATTCATGGGCAATGATCTTATTTTCCCGATTCCTGCCTGAACAAATGTAAAGGCATTTTAAAGGTAACAGTGCAAATTGATGTAAATGTGGACATTATTTACACGAAGAGCGCCACCACGTGGCAGATGTACCCTTCCCCCGGTCTTCGGCTTAGTTTTTTTTTTGTTCATCCCGACCCAAGGGTCGATACAACCTTTGTTGACTGACTAATGACGTCAATAGCTGACAGCCAATCACAGCGATAACTCGAGACTTCATGTCAACTAAGGCGCC